GAAGAAGATTCGTGACCATTCTGTTGAAAGTAGTGGGAGCGTTTTTCAAGCCTTGTGGCATAATAAACCATTTCCACAGCATGTCACTGGAGAATACTGACTGCAGTTAGTGGTGTATCATTTTTGCGTATTCGTAATTGATAGAAATCATCTTCAGATCGATAGCACTGAAAAATAGTACTGTCACTCATTCTACCAAGAATCATACCCTTGCGTTGAACCAAAGTCTGGGCAGGTGTGGTCGCATCATTTAATTTGTTCTGAGCATTAAAATGCGCCAATCACATGTGGCTTTCTTCGTACATAAATTTGTACTACAATGCGGAGACTCCCTTTCACGCACGTGACCAGCCTTCTGTAGCTGCGAAAAAATCGTCAATTGCAGTATATTGTTCTTTTGGCAACGACCACTGCCGTGTGATAAAATACTTCGTACCATGAAGTTTTTCAATCTTATGACGGATGGCTATATGTCTGGCACCTTGACTAGAAATATATCAGCATATATTGACAAGTCCATACCGGAGGTTTGAGCTTAGAACGTCCTATAAGTGCTTATCAAGTCTTTACTTCCGCGTCATCTCATCAAATAATTCCGCAGTATTGATGTCATCGTCCATAGTTTCTTAGACATTCGCACATATTTGCAAATTTTTGCCTGAACTTGGAGAATTCTATCTTCACATTACCGATAATATAGACGTCGCCTTCTTCGTTGTAGGTCACAACATATAAATACTTGCTTGATGTGCCTTGTTTTTGGAACATTTCCGTCATTAATATAACTAGGACCATGATCAGGGCACGAAAATACTTGACGCGAGATGGCCTTCTTATTCTTTTCTTGGGATGGGTCTTTGCCTGTTCTTCATACTACATCGACCATGACTCCCATGTCGATAGTAAAGGTGACAGTCTCTTTTTGGCGCCTGACTGCTGCACCTCAAATCCTTGTCTTTACTTTCGTCATTTAAGCTTGTCCTGTGAATATGGAGGGCCATCGCACACCAAAATATCACTTGGAACATCTACCACGCAGTTAAATCGTTTTGTCTGACAGTTCATCTATAGATGAAGTGCGGTGAAAATGTTTAACCTAGTGCCTTGATTCCTTAAAACATATTTCGCCAGTAATTTTCAGTAAAGCTTGAATGCTCATTTGATAACATTCGATTCAGAAGCGACGAGATCGAGGCACCCATGAGACTTCACTTCTGACCACTTTTATGTCGCATTGCAGCACCATTTTGATATCCGTTTTCAGATAATTAGTGAGGACTCACGTCAAGTCGGCATAGGATGCAGTGTACATCTTAAAGTAATTGACGTGGCCAATCCGCTTCTTTTGATGTCTTTGTGACCGATGCACTGACCAAGCTCCAATTATCATATATTTGGAAGATATTTTCGCTGGCCTGGCAACCTTGAGGGAATAAGCGAGGGAATTTTGAGGGCAATGATGATACACTTGTCTATTTTTCCTTATAGCGCATTCACTCTAGCACTGCTTGCAAACGCTCATTGCGGTTCTTCACATTTGACACTCCGTGCTTTTCAAAACTGTGGGCGTATATATCGTCAATATCGTTTTTTATCTCGACACTATAAGGCACGGTGACCAGACAAAAGAATTTTGCTGGTGTGCCAGTTAATCATGTGTATAATAAGCTTCTCCCAGGTATCCGCTTTAAGAATACATTAACATGCAGGAAATAAAACCGTATTTCATGAACAGTTGATAGCACCCATTAGAGTGGAATAACGCAGTTATCAAATCACTCTCAGCCATGCTGTTCTACTTCACATTCTTTCCGAAATCGGTGTTTGCTGCAATAAAACGACTACATCTGACCTAATGTAAGCAGAAAAAGATAGCTACTTACCGTACTGTTTGGCACCAAACGTCGGCGCCAAGTGAAGGCATACCACACCTTTCTTATATTCTTTGCGTTAGACACGGAAGAAAGAGCCAAAGACGTCATACTGTGTCCTCGATGAGTATTATTGCGATATGATGCAGTTTTTGGTTCCCGAATCAAGTCAGTAACTCGATACATCCCTAACTAAGGGTAACACATGTGGAATATTTTGTCAACAAGGCATGACATCCGTTCAACAGAAAGTGCAAAGCTTCCTTGGAGAATTTGATTATGGATGCCATATGTTTGCACTCATTGCTGTGCGAGTTTTTCAAAATAGGATAAGCCCATCATCGATAACGAGCTCATCCCCATCAATTATAACAAATCGTACCATTTCGGTGATCTCACTGCCCTGCAAGTTCTTAACTATATTTTGAGCTGAAGACTCCAGCTTAACTTGCTTCTACCGGAAGAAATATGGGGTCCTTTATCCTCTTGGACTACACCAGTCACTCTATTCACGAGCGAATCATTTTCCTCGCAACTTTGCCGAAAGTTCTACAGCAGCGCACGATGAGTTAATCATATATAAAGACTAAGCGTCCTATCATAATACGAATGAGACGTTCTCACGGCCCATCGGCTCACTGCCGCTTCTGTTTTGGGACTCTGCTTGAGGCTTCGGTCAGTATCATTGTTTTCGATTATTATCCTTTTTTTACAAGTAAGACATTGCAGCTCCAATAGTGGGTCGGTCAAACCTATTTCGTTTCTGACAGAGAAAGGTTCATAACTCTCAAGTGTTCGAATTATAATTGCGTGGCATCTAGCAATGTCCGCTTCAAAGGCGACCCATAGATTATGGTCATCCAAACATGCTATGCCTAAAAAATAATCGCTTCTCGAATCTAGTTCCAGGACTGAACAGAGTACCACGCTGGCGAAGACCCTCAACTTTCACTTGAAGATTCAACATGTGTTCTGACGCTTAACAGTTCCCCCGTCGCAAGATGTACGGATATCAGACCAGTATATGGCATTGTCAATGCCTCCGCGTATGTCTGCTACTTTTGACAGTCGAACATCGCTTGGTATTGTAAGATGCTCCTCAATCTATCGGGAGATTCTGCTGCCTTTTGGGAGACTGATATCAAAAACCTAGACGATGAGTCTCATTTATCTTAAGAAGTGTAGCTTGGTTATATATGGTTCCCATTGACCACGATTTAGGGGTTAAGAGAACAATTTTTATATTTATTTTTTCCCGTGAAAAGCCGTCATCTGATCGTGTATGACCGCCCGACCCTTCGTATCTCTCAGCAGAGTGCGCAACGAGCTTTCAAATTGAACATGTTCTGTACTGCCGCCGATGAAACCTCTGGGGGTACTCGGAGCTGCTTAGATGTCTATACTTTCCCAATTTAAATTAGGTACGTCATTGAATGAGTCCAAATTCCCAGCACTCCACCCTGGTCTCGCGACATGATTTTCTGCTCCGCGTCGAATGCAACGCTCACCGCCTCATCGAAAGTGGTACGATGGACGCGGGATTTATCGGTGCAAGCTGCAACCTTTAGGGCTTCTTTTGTAGAAAAGCGACCGTTAATGCTCCTCGATAAGCATTGTTAAGTTTTAGTAACACCAGGATATAGTCTCAGTCTCGCCTTCCTTGACGGCTAGTCAAGTTACTCGAAAGTATGGGCTGGGCTGTTCAAACACTTGCAATGTATACCACTTAGCACCGTCCCACCTTAGAAGGGTCTCATTTACAGAGTATTGCAAGTGATTGTCCATATAGGGGAATCGATCCGTTTGGAGCAAGGCCAAATGTCCTCGACCATTTAACAAGAGGGAGAAATTTCTTCGTCCGGCCCTATAAGGTTAAAGCGGGCAACAGCAGCAACGCCACGGTGAGAACCATCTATTTCTAAACCGACGCCCGATTTGGACGCTTCTTGAGAAACCTTAGCAGCCACATGATCAATGCTGAAAAATGCCTAAAGGCGTGAGATTACCACTTTTGGGCATTTTACCGCTAATTCCCTGATCCCATCATTTCCATGATAGAAAAAGATTGTAGGGCGGATATTTTTGTACTGATACGTGTGACCGAGTACTTTACGCTTCATCCTCACAAAGGATACAATCTATTCACGACTGGGTCGTTCTCAAAGTCCGCGTTTGCGAACGGAACGATGATGATTTTGCGCGGTCCATCTATGAGCGAAATTGAGATAATTTACACTGCTAGTTTGCTCTCTATTCCTATTTTTGGTATTCATATTTAGAATAGCACTATATATGAATATATCGCATAATAAAGCTAGCTTTTCAAGTTGCGGTAGCCTACTTGTAACATCGGGCTTCCCGTAATCTTCATAAACACCAATAAATAAATATTGACAATTACACCATGTGTAATTCAGACTTCTCACAATCGAATCGTAGTGTAATTTATACAATTGTATGGTACAATTGTACCAAATCGGTAAGTTTCCTGTACTTGGTACCGTAATATGATATTGCTCTGACTAGATTTTTCTTGCTGCTAAAATAATCATATCACCAAAATTGCGATGCAAAAAGTTGATGTTGGGCCTCTTTTTCGAAACACTTATTTGCCAGCCTTATCCCTGCAGACGACACGATCGGCCACTCCCATCATTCCATCGTATTATACTTTTTTGTCTACTCAAATAAACTCTATGGCAGGGGTGGGTGCGGCGGTTTTGCCAGTCCACCTTGTATGAGATGATGAATAAGATAACCGTATCGACCAGAAGACTATTTGACAAGTTGAAGATATGACAGGTATGAGATGCGCATTTGTGTAAATGTATTACAGCTCAGATACTTTGTGTCGTAGCTCGCCAGATGCTTTGTTCCTTAGTAGCAGCTACCTCGTCGGTATTTTGTGTTATCCCTGATTTTCAATGACATTCACGAAAAGCAAAGAGGACGAGCTCAAACCAAGCTCAACTCAACTTTGTATACGTGTTAGAATACCGTTAATTCCATATGCATGATCCAAGCGGAGGGTAACTTTGAGATCAGCATCTGACCATTTCCACCAAAAATTGGTTTCAAACTGTAAAAAGTCAGTAGTCTTTTGAGCCTTTAATAAACAAATTTTCATGTAAAACCGGTATATTTTGTAGCTAATAGATATGTAGAAAGTTCTGGTGGACTTGATTGGATGACACAGCAGATTACCTTGAAGCAAGGGTAGATCTACAGTATTAATAAATGTTCCGCCCAGAAAAGTGCATGCAGTACAGTAGTATCTTTAAGTAATGTCATGGTGGGCGCAATCGACTGTCAGAGGTGGGACATATGCTGTACGATTACTACTCACCTGTACAGCTGTTGATTTGCTTGTTCCGGCGTTTACGGATGAAAGCTTGTCGACTGTCTACTGTATGAGAACAGGACAACTATTTCCATCAGGTCTCACAGACATATTTTCTTTTTCACTTTGAAGACTTGGGACCAAATATTGAATGCTGCATGAGTTTCCCTTTCATCTCAGACGACCCGTCGCAGCTTTCTGTCGATGATTTGCTCAAACTCATTGACTGGAAAGAGCTAGAACATAACCTCTCAAGCTCTTATGACTCCACTGGGCCACTTTATATTGTCGATGAGCCTATGGACTTGGAGCTGGAAACAAATGCCAAGTCTGAACCCCCTCTGCGCTCGCGCAAGCGTAAGATGGCCCCGATGCTGAATCCAGTTCAGCATTTGGGCATTGTTCAGTCAACTGGTCCGCTTATTAAGAAAAAACGTATTCGCCGTGAGATTGTCGAGCTTAAACTTCTGCGCGAAGAAGTAAAGGAACTTGAAAACAAATTACGAAATTTACAGCAACACTTTTCAAGGCCAGATTTTGCAAATGGTGTAGCAGTACAATTGGGAAATCTAACCCCATCCGTGTGGACTTCGATAGCAGGCCGTCAGTTGAGGGATCGCATGCGGGCCGAGCGCGACAATCTAGAGCTGCGAAAGACGCTGCGAGATCAGCTCAAAATCGCACAGGGCCTCGAAGATGCGCTGAAACAGATGTCACCTATTCAGGTGTGCACTCAATATGAATTGTTTTGAAAATAGTTTTATTTAAATATGTTTATAGGGTTCTACCAGCCAACCAACAGTATTACTCCCACTTATTATCTTTAGGCCTTCCAGTTTTGAGCCCCTTCCAGAGAGCTTGGTACGTTTGAAGCGCTCATATCTAAGCGTGAACGAAGTTTTAGCAGCACAAGGCACCGATTAGCCAGCCATGATATCAAAGTTATTCGGTGTCCTTCTTACGGAAGTTTTACTCGGTTTTCAACTCGGATCGTAAAACCTTGTAAGTACGAGATTACAAGTAGTGTTCTGTGGCGATTTTTCACCAAAGGAGCCTAATCTCGTTTGCAAGCTCTTTCAGCGTAATAGTTTCACATCATCGACTTCTTAACATTTTATACCTGATTAATCTTGCTATTGCCTTATCAGAAAATTTACATGTCGAAGAATATTCAAGCACACTGTTTTGTCTTTCGGCTGTCGAAATATGAGCCAACGAAAGACTTTTGGATGAATCAAATACTTCAAAAACACCATGAAAAGGACCGGATAGTCGTCGTGGGACGATTCACAATCCATCATATTTGAGACAAAGCACCCCGCAAGCTGGCGTTTCATTTCTTGGGGGTTCGAGGGTCACGATAAGTGATAGCAGAAGCCACGCGGTGCATCAAGGTTTGATACTAACGTCGTGTTATGCAGCTCTATTCATACGGTGGGTGTAAACGAGTTGCTGAAATCTTTATCCGAGTTTGCGAGTCCAGTAATTAATCGGTGTCGAGAGATGATCGTGGCAGTACTACATTAGGAGGAAGGTATCAAACAAGTCTCTTGAATAATGAAATTTAGTAATTTGGGTATCCAGTTTTTCCCTTTTGATGACATCATATTATCAAAATCGGATTATCGACATTTTGGCCGCATATTTTTGCTAAACTTACCTAGAAAATTATGAATATGCGTTAGAAAAAATACTTGAACTCTGAGTTTGTCAGCTGTTATTTTGTATTCTGCAATACACCCAGCATCTGAATCATTTAAATTCACGACCGTAGTGCAACGAAGAAAGCTTTGACTTTACGAAACCGTGATTCAAAACGCAGAGAGGATGGGCTTCTCACGCTGCACCCGGAGCGGAACTGAGAGCCTATCAAAGTTATACAAGTACTTCATATTTACTATATCAAACGGACCAGTCCCCCATTATGCAAAATTACACAAGACTCGAATATTTATGAACACAATAGCACAACTCGCACTACTTTATATATTTGATATTAAGTCTCATTATTGTGCTTACAAAACGTTTGACCTGTACGTAAGAAGCACTCAGAGTTGCTGTGCACCTTGTACTTCGTAAACTTCTGGCCAAATATTACACGTAAACAAAACACAGAGTTATTGAACGGGACCGCTGAAAACTTTGCACAGAGGAAGCTTTGACGGTTGAGCAAATGTACAGCCGTTGAGATCGTATACTTGTGCCGATAGCGGAACGAAAAGTCTTGGCCGTAACAGGATGTTCAGTAGGATCTCCATTTTCAAAGACTACTTGGAACAGTACTATGCATAGATGTCTTACTATATCCTGCTCAAAATTGTCTTCATTTTCTGACTTACGCTTCGCAGCACACGTGTACCACGCACCACTTTTATTTAATACTAATCTTTGGTAAATTCGAGAGATTACAACTATAACGAAGTGTAATGCGAATTTCACACATTTGCACTTTTATCAATTATGTAGAGTGTAAGTGCGGTATATACCTCCCCGCTAGAATTTGGATCAATACTACTTTTGTCATTTTGAGACACTGCGCAAACGTAACCAATCCTTGAGCACTGACTGCGCATGGAGTCTTGCTCCACCTCTCTTCTTTATCGTGCCTATTCCTCAAAGCATAATTGCAACGAGAGTCCGATCACCAAAAGGATTAGCTTCACGAGCCCTCAGAAAGATGCAGAAGTCACGATCGATTTACTGAAAATATATCGGCAAGGATGCTTATGTGTTATCCGATGAGAGTGGTTGCATTGACCCTCCGTGATCTCACCAAACAACCTCCTGCCCCCTCACCTGATGACACACGGTCCGACCTATCACCAAACAGAGGTGCTTACTTTAGTCAGCCTTCCTGCACTAGTCATGTACACCGAACCGAATTCCAGCAGCGGGAAGTGGTGCGCAACTCACAAAAGTGCCCAGCCTGTCCCAAACAAGCTGGGACATGCCTATGAAGTCCTTTTTGCTCAAATACAATTATAAGTCCTTCTTGCTCGAATACAAGAATAAGAAACACACTGACTTTTGCCCAAATGATCACGCCGCGATTACTGTCTCGATTTGCTTGCCGCGCTGGGGCGGAGCTCTCAAACAGTTTGGTGTATAGTCTTCCCGCTAACACCGAAAGCGATGGGAGCTTCAGCAAGTTACCCCAAAAAGTACTGGTCCCACATTAAATGGCTTCCCAGGATGACCTCCTGCTCAGTTCCCTCTATCGAGTTATCTCGACGGCAAGCTGGCGATAGTGCGGATGCGTGTACAAATTGGCTGAGGATAACGCACCATAATACCCTTCTGAGAATTTAACGATCATTTCAGCCAAATAGACATCCGACTCAAGCGTTGACATAATTTAAATTTTTGAACTCATTAAGACGTAGCTGTCGTGAAGAAAAAAATTGTGGCTTCCAGAAATACCTGGCATTACCCATCGCCACCGGCGCTTTTTCATGGGTTCATGTAAGTTGAGCCGCTCCGTGGGATCACACTATTATCAGCTGCTCATCGCTATCCTGTCAGAGCTGATAGTTATGTGATTTATCTTACAAAATTCTCAACAGAAATAAAACTATGGAGACCGCAAAGTACCGTTGCTAGTTTCTATTTCAGCCAAAAACGGATTATACGATTGCTACTTCAATCTCATCAAGTTGCGATACAAGTAATCTACTGTCTGTCTCATTGTGGTACTGCAGCCCACATTCACTCCTATTTTTAAGCTCTGCTCTAGGTACATAACAACATATTTGACAATTCATTTTTTCGAACTGACTTTTTTCATAACAGCTATTGTAGGCTCGAATATGTGTCAATAGTGTTTTGACGTCATAGATAAAGTGTGTTTCTGGTAAACCAGCCTACACTAGGAGAGAAGTGTGTGGCATCTGTAGTAACAGACAGTCAGTTATCCCAATGCTCATGATGATCAATTCCTAGAATCAGATCATAAAAATCCAAATGCTTGATAAAGACTACATGTTTTGCTGTCAGAGTTATGAATTGTTGGTAAACTGCGTGATCCTATAGCAAGAAGCGCAAACATGGTAGTCATTCCATATATACAGTGCCCAGCGCACCATCTGCTGTCGTCGTACGTCACAAAAATGCATGAGGCACCTTCTTCTATCACTTTATTCGTGGGTTTGAAATGACGAAGAATTGGTGTAAAAAAACAATAACCTTGGCTTAAAAGCACCACAATTTTATGTGGGAGTGGTTTACGTAAGGCAGTGGCTCCATTGATCTTTAGTTCTCTTATTAGTCTTGACGTACACAAGTACAACAGAATATCATTTGTTTCTAGTAAGCGTAGAACGGCCTATTGGAACTCGACAGAAATTGCGATATATTCGTCGGTCGACTATATGAGAAAGAAATTATTTTCGTCTACCCTTACCGAGAAAGAAGGAGGCCCTCACGTTACAGTTTGCAAATCCACAAATATAAGATTTGCGGGAACCGATACATTACTCTCGTCTTTTTCATCTGGGCTGAAGCCTTTTACCTCTGGCACGCTCAAATAGCACTTCGACCGACATTTTGAGCTAAAAGTTCCTTTCCGCATTTGATGCAATCTCCGATTATTCTTCGATAGAAAAATTATTGTCCACGGCCACAGCGTAAGCTGCTCTATTTGAAGACCTTCCATGTCACTCATTTAGTAAAAGCGTCTGCCAGTAGAATTTACAGCCCATGGATATAGTATGATATATCGTTTCTTTTTACGAATAGCCTGAGGTTTCAGCTGAACGCATATTGGTACGTACATTTATAGCCTCTGTCGCTATGCTGGAATTTAGAATGGGAACGTCTGTTTTTTTAGGAATCAAGTGTTAGTGACGTTATACATCGCCTAGATGACATGCAGTCGCTCTATCTGCGTCATTGCCAAATATTGAGTAGTTGAGGTCAAATGCCGAAGTGAATCAGTTATTTGCTACACAATCTACCCTTTCTGCATGTCCGTAGCTACCTGCCTGTTCCCTGTGCCTCTACAGCAGCCGCCCTCGACCTTCTCCTGTAACGCCCTCGAGCTTCTCCTGCGACGCCCCGACATAATGAATGGTCGAAGGGGGGTTGGATGGGATCCAATCCCATCGAGCACTCACTCCGTTGCCATTCGTGAATCGCCGATCCCAGTCGTCATTCAGTCGTCATTCGAGTTAGTTCCCTATCTTCGCCTAGCTCATGCGCGTGCCCCACGCGCCCTCCGAACCATGGAACACCTTCACGTCATTAATCGATGAGTCCTTGGCTCGTCCAGCTCTCATTACGCGGCTCCACTTCAACACCGGATATAAAGACCTCTTGAAATCTCCGGGAAGTAAGATTTATGTCTTGCTTTAATGAGCTACATGCTGCTATTATGTATAAGTCTAGGGGCCTGTTGTACATCACATCTGGCTGGAGAGTACCTGAAGTTTGAAGTACCCGGAATTTTCCATCAATGCATTCTCATAAAAAGAGAATACTTCCTGGTGAGTGATATTCATCTCTGGTGATTGGGTCGACAATACAATAAAGCTATCCGCTTAAAAAACATGGGTTGCTGCCCAGAATGCCTTTACGCTCATAGTATGCGCTATCTAACACGCAGAAAATGAGTTCAACTGTCGTCTTGAAATCGCTAAGTCGAGAAAATTACACTACACCGCTATCTTAACAAAGCGAGTGTTGCACATCAAAGGTAATGTAGCCAAAACTGGTACGATATATACCTGCTTTACGATACAAAATCTTCTAGTCTTCATCGTGTATTGCGTAATGCTATCAGTCCATTGATCTCACAAAACTTTACTTTGAACATTTCAGTTACTTTCACTCTTACTGAGTAACCTTGTCATGATAGTTATAAGCTTCGCGCTAATTCCAAAGGACAACAGCATAACCTGCACGTGCACGATAAAAGGCACCGAGCTATTACACGCTCACCGCGGCCCCATCAACTTATTGGCTCCATCTGCGTCAGCTAGAGCTATTGCATACCAACCCGGTTGTACGCTTCGGGCAGTATTGAGTGAATATCGTGCATCACAATTTGTGACGTGGCATTTAAAAAAAATTACACTGAAATTGTTTATATGATGAGGTGCGTACAGTATGATGGTGTGCGTTCAAAATACGCTACTGTTACTGTAGTCCTTAGAGCTTAGATCAAAAGTCCAAATGTGCAGTGCCAATTTGAAGTTTCTTGATTAGAAAACATATAATGTGCAAAACATTTCGACTAGAGTCGATTGTGGAATTTGCTTGTATCAAAAGAGCAGAAATAAACACAGTTCCTTGAAAAGTTCTTTGTTACGCTTTGGCCGTTAGCCTCGTGCTCTACAGTACACATATTTTTTATCAAATTTGATAGATCACATACATATATTATTTCTAAAATCTTGTATAAGTGGTTAAAGCAAACGAAGCATCGAAGTACTAGCAAGGCTCTCAGATCCAACGTTTGGTGGGGCGTCTAAGTCTATCCCATGTACGTTTCAAACGCAGACTCTTATAAACTGTCTCTATGCAAAGTTTAAGGCTTCTCCAAGGCATTTGATAACCCTTTCGTCAGAACAACGACATGACCGAGATACAAATATATCAAATATGAAATTAAGGCCATGCATGTTTGTAAAATTATCGATTTCTATTCTTCCTTTTTCTCAAATCAACAAACTACGTTCAACACGTCATAGTCTTTAGTAAATCTTAGATTGGTATGAAGCTGTTATCAATGGCCTGGAAGCGATCGCCCAGCCATGTAAAATTTCCAGTAAAAAGTTTCATTTTCTTGACTGATCCAGGCATCTGCATGGACTTGATTAATACTGTTGTTATCTCTAAGGCGAATTGAGTACATTCCGAGCTTGATCTGGGCTCACTTTAGCCAAATTTTGGTCTCAGTTTGCTGACAAACCATACTTTTTGTCGCAAATAAGCACATTCGTTAGATAGGAAGTGTTAAAGCAGTCCATGTCGCGGCTGCTCGAAAAACGACCTAGTAGTACAATGATTAAATCCCGTCAGCCCATCAACAGAGAAGAGAACTCGCAGAGTATGTCTGAGGGTTGGGAAGTCTCATCGCCACATGAGGGGTTCTTCACCACGCCTTATGCGCGCTATTGGCGATGGACATAAGCCTGGACTAGGATGAAGATAGTGGTGTCGTAGCTGCTGAGCGGCGCCGTGGTGTTGGCAGGTTTTAAAGGTCATGGGCTACCAACTAACTTCGTCATATGGAGTAGAACCTGTGGTCTGATTGACGTCGGGCTTTACGACCTACCAAAATACGTAATCTCAACAGTAGATCGCTTCGAATATTCGGCTAGGGTGACGCAGTGGGTTATCAAACGTTCTAGCCAGAGAAGCAGAACACGCTTGGCGCTTGTTTAATGTTTATGCTTATGTTTATTGTGCTTTAATCCTGTGTAAACCTCTAATAGAACCCTGTGCGAGGCAGGAATGTCAAGAACACCAGACAGTGTGCACTCGTATTTAAGATGTCAAATACGGATATAAATTTTGTGCGACTTGTAACGGGGATAGTGATAATAGCGCTGAAATCGCCTTTGAGCAACGTTTTGAACGCTTTTAGCCTTTTTGTGATGCTTGGATAACTAAGTACTTTTCCTTGATCGTATGCCGTGGGCCGTTGTTGACTAGAGATTAAAAACATGGGTATTACGCACATAATATGTTCTGGGTCCGATAAGTCTTGAATTTACATAAGCGCTTTGGCCTGATCAGAATCTTGGAAGGCAGAAAATTCAATAAGCCGAGGTCTCAAGATATGACCAGAAACAGAAATCGTATATTGCAGGTATATCACATATAAACGAAATAGAACAGCTAAAAGATGTTGTGTGAAATGCTTTCTGGCAAGACGAAGAGTTCAGTTGGGGAGGGGACTCCATATTTAATCTTGTGAGAAGTATTATAACGAATGAGTCTCATAATTTCCAAATTTATTCTAAGAGGTAGTTAGGGGCGGCTTAGTGCCGTGGTCCCACATAGTAGTCCAGGTAAAGACAAAATTTCGTAGTCGCGAGTAGAAGGGTCATGCACTTTTGTTGGTGAACATGCTCATCCTTGCTACGATATAACAACACAGCTGAGATGTGACGAGCCTTCTGTAGAATTCCGATCGATTATAGTGAGAGTTCACCCATTACAAAGTAGTCGTGGTAATTGTAATGAATTTAGGTCTATATTCAATTCTTACTGCAGAAGCTCACGTTTGGCCTGACAGGATATTTCCACTCTCCTGTTTTAATCCGAATATAATGTGGTGGGTGATACAGTTGCATCTCTAAGCCTGTCGTGGGAGTAAACACATCTCCAGCTGTAGTTTAGACTCATTAAGTTTGACGTTTGGAGCACCCTCGATAGTTTCGTCGATTATTGTTTCTATTCGAATCTGGTTGTATCAAAGCCTCAATGGTGGCATAATTGACCATTGTATGATGTGATGGAACTGTGTGTAATTACTGGCAACTTCACGTTTTTGAAGTCATATCGATCATTCTACTTTCACCCTAGAACGCTCCAGACCAGAAAGACGATTGCCTTTTGACGCTCTTTGCGTATCCAAAGACCAAAGCCTGTTTAGGACATGGTTTGTCATCTTGGTGTCACCAACATGAGCGTAAAATTGAGATCCAAAACCCCATATTTCGCTTCCAGCAAACCAACGTGTATGTCATCATGGTCGAGTTTGGCATTTTGGCTGTTCAGTTAATAGTATAAAGCAGTTTTCTTACCGCTACAGTAAAATATTTGCCTACATGCCTTTGTAGCATAGCATATATTGTGATTGCTTCATTACTATAGGCTTCTATTGTTTTGCTAACCACTGCAAGGCATTGAATATTACTCGTGTCAGACCTCTCCTAAATAAAATAGCTCAAACAGCCGTGAAATAGTTACTGTGACGTGTGATGCCCAATTTACGCAAATTACTCTTCAGCACTAGTTTCGGTGTCTGATACAAGCGGTTTGATTTTTATGCAACAGTTGTTGCTCTTACGCAGCCGTTATAACTTTGATGAGATGCTACCGAGGAGATGCTACCAAGAACGGGAAAATTTTGATAAATCAAAAATATTCTGATGACGGAATTTGAACACAAGCGTTTTGATAAAATGACGCTGTCATTCTTGTCCAAACTTGCTTTAGTCTAGCTGATGAATATGGATTTAGGCCTTTTCGTGAGTTCTGCTGCGGAGTTTCGTAACACTCTCCGTCGATGGGACAGGCACAGAGTTCGAATCTTGTATAGATCGGTGGTGAGAGCGCCTACTCATGGGGAGAGCGTGACGAAAGGATATGGCTTTGCCGTTTACTTTTCGGTGAAATAGCCACTTCCACACCGGGACGAAAAGGGCCAATATGACCTCTCTCATCAGTAACGTCTCGATAGAAATTTTTCGATCGCCGGAGGGGCACGACTGTAACAGTTGCTCGATGAGCCATGCGACTATATTTTAAAGTGTTCTTACGATGCGAAATTGTTTGTGATGTGATAAGTATCAAATTTTGCGTTTTTACATCTTATACGCATGGTGCAATCGCCCTCGGTCGATACTGTACAATTAAATGAGATTGACATTTCATCACAGTGCATTTGTAACGGGGTTACATGAGAGTGACCCGTCACTCTCCCAAGGGAGCTGTGGTGTGG